TGGTCTGATCATTGTATTCTAGCATTTTCTACCGCTGCGTTTAGTCAGCGAATGCATCTGAATGAAAATGGTAATAAGCCACAATGCTGGATGGCTGAGAGTGGAAATTTTGTAATCTCTTGTTGTGTAATAATCCAGGAAGCGTAATACCACAGTATTTTTTAACCACAGCACATCGCCTTTTTTATGACGTTTCTTTCCCGCTTAATGCATATCCAGTCTACTATTGATTGCTTATATAAATCCTTTTTCCAGTTCATTAGACTTGATGCGATAGCTGCTCTCTGTCGCGACAGTTCGATTTCGAGTTGTTTAGACTGAAAATCGTAATTAAGTTTGAATAAGCCGTAGATCTTCACCAGGTTACAAATTACCAAACGGCTTGTCAGTCTCTATCTTCATTCAGGTTGCCAAGTATCTTAATTGACCTGTGACTTCCGTTATTTCTCTTGTTGGCAAATAGTTTTCATTCTACTCTCTTCATGAATGAATGTGGGCGGTGGTTCTCATTTTTTTCAATTTTGGCATATTGTCAGAATGTTATTCTTCTGGAGAAGTGTCAGTTCACCCATACTTTTACACTCGGGTTTCACAGTCTTCCTGATAAACTATATTAGTTATTTCGGCTTCGCGTTCGCAGTTCCTCTAGCTTTTAAGGCGACTACGCATAATCATAACTTCTGCGTTGTCTTTTTCTTTAGAGTCAGATTTCAGTCTCTCCGGGTTTCGCCTTGTACAATCTCTGGTGGAAGCGTTTCAGCATTCCGGTGTTTAGCATAGTTTCAGATGCCGCGATGACATTATTAATCAGCGTTATTACTGACAATGACATTTGAGTTTCCCACAGGCACAGTTTTTGTTAATTCTTGTATTTAGACTTATGGCCTAATTTTCAGCTCGTTTTTTGTCTTCACTGAATAACGGTAAAGACGACCTTGAATTTGAACTATGTCAATTCTAAAGACTTATGTTCAGGACCTAGAATCGGTATGGCGTATCGTTTGTTTTAAGACTTAATCAACTTTTACAGCTTAGGATGCTTTTGATGCCGAAGAATACGTCGAACGACTAGCTTGGCGGCTGACGGAAGACACAGAGGGTCCGTTGGATGCCAGTTACCTCCATTCTGCCTTAGAGGAGGAAATAGGAAATCTGCAGATTCTGTCAGACCAGTGCCAGGCGAAGATAGAAGGCTTGGAAAACAACTGCAGGGAGGAAGAGGAAGAATATTACGTTTCATTGGAGCGGTTGTTGGCTGAACATGAGGTATAGGGATTTAAAAAAAATCTTACTTTTTTCAAGCATAACTTGGAAGTTGTTTCAAATGTGTATGAGGCGGTTTACCGTTGAAGTTTCTTGAAATAATGTGTCGCAATATAATGTAACCATTGTAGTCTATTTTTTCTGAAAATAGAAAATTATGTTATAACACCCCTTTTCGATTCACTTCTGGATAAATGTCTGTCGAAGGCTTTGCCATAAATTTCTGTTTTCCCCTGATTTGAGCTGTTGAATTCATCTTGGAAGATGTAGTCATGGCTCGCTACGTTGATCAGAGGGGTTGGTGAGTGTTGCCTCCCAGTTGGCCAGATTCTCATTATTTCACAGCATCGTTGAACCGGTCAGGGCCTACACGCTCAGCTGTGCATCGTTTTGAGAACCCATTGCCATCCTCCTACCACTTTTAGGTAGAATAGGACATAAGAGAGACAAACTTAACGGTAGTTTGTTTTTAAACCGATGTTCAGAGCAATATATAAGTATCCCATCTCCTGATTTGCAAGCTTAATGGCACCGATCGCTCACTTCTAGACGATTGCTTGTCAATTGGTATGTGCTTGTTTTAGCTGATATGGATATCTCCTACTTAAATGGGAGATCACAGAAATGCTACGCTGTGAGTGTGCTAAAGTACAGACAACAGAACCCATTATGAACAAGAGTTGCATATATTTAAACCGTGGAGGAGTGAAGGCGATGCACTCGACATAGTGAGGTGGCTGTCAGAACTACAGATGAGATTATAGAAACAATAGACGATTGCTCTACGGTACGAAGTAAGACTGTGGGCAAAGTAATTTGATTCGCTTCCAGCACGTTTTTTCTACACTTGCCTTTTTCATGCGACTTTATATCGATGACGGTGTATGCTATAATACCAAGGAACCATAGCCTGTTTGAGAGGTGCCCACTATCCTCCGAAAAGTAGGCGCATGAATACGCTGTGTAAACGTGATGAAGTAACACTCGTGAAAAGTATGTCTGAATGCTCGAAATTCTTTCTTGAGAAGTTCATCTTCTTCTTCGTCTTTCATGGCCCCTTCTCCTGTCGGGTCTTTGAGCTTGGATTCCATTGATAAAAAATTCATCAACCTAGGATATCAAACACGAGTTCAATCTACCCAACTTATTTCTTGTTCATTAGTAGCTGATGGCTGGTTTCTGGCTATTGTAACGGTCTCGCAACATCGCTCTTTACATGCTGACAATGATGATGAATACTTCGTTCGTGTGATACTGGTGATAGATGTGGTTCCATCAAACTGAATTACACGGCCTAATGACGCCGTCTGTTTTCCTTGAGTTGCGACGGCTCCATGGTATTTAAGCACCTGGTGTGCATCAATATATTCAGAGCACGTTGCTTCACTGTACTGAATAGAGCCATACTTTCGTTACCATTGATGTTTCAGAAACCAGTTTTTTTTGAGTTTGTTTCCCGCAGTATGTTATTAAACTGATGGATCACCTAAGGCTGAATTTCACGATGTATTACGCGGTCTATTGTTCACAGATGTCGAAATTTCTGTGTAGGGAGGCAACTGCTTTTTTGCATTAATGATATGTCCGAGATCGTTTTCGCTGTTATAACCGTACCTTGTTTTCCATCAGTATTGTTTCAGGAGCCATTTAATGTTCATACTTAAACTGAGATTTTAATGAAACTCATTATATTGCATTACAAATTTCGTTAATTTTTCATAATTTGCGGCGTGTAACGGCTTGCATTTGTCTTCATCTTCCATGGCCGCTTCTCCTTTTGGGTCGCGGAGGCAGACGCGTCAGAGAGAGTTTCCAACGTTCCCGATCATGTGCCAGAGTCTGAGCTTCCGCAGGAGACAAATGGAGTCTGAAACAGACTCCTTCCATATACTTGCACCAGGTTATTTTTTCCCCTGGGCCTTCTGCCGGTCGGGTTCGCAAGAAACAGTTCTAACAGCTTGTTTTTATCCGTAATAAATCAAAATTACCATTTTTGTTTAACACGCTGATGTTAATTTTTCTATCTTGAAGCGAACTATAGATATATTATCTTCATTCTCCAGGTAGTTCTTAAAGGTTTAAAAGTTTACCGTTTAAATGAGGTATTGGTTGATTCATTCATTGCCATCAGTTGTAGCAATACTCAAATCCTCAAACAAGTCCATTATGTGGTAGTTTATTTTTAGTGATCTGCTGAGCAGATGAGATGATGGGAAATTACGAGCTTCTGTACATTTCTGTCTCAAAACAAGTGTGCAATACTTGCTTCGTCCTTCGACTAAAGCGAGAATAGATCGATTGGGAGTTTTCGTTTGATGGATGCTTTGGAAGTTTTACTTTGCACGATTTTACTTTTTAGGTAGCCCCTGTTATAGTTGTTTGAAATTTGAGGATTTTTTCTTTGAAACCATACTGAGGAAAATGTGTTAGAGGTGTGCTACCTTCTCCCTGTTGCCTGAGGTAGTCGACGCAGCAATATCAAGAGGACATATTCAGCATTTCGGTTATTTGGAAGTGTGTTTATTTTTCTCAGTTTCACTTCATACCGGTATTATTGCAGAATTGCGTCAATACAATTGTTTATTTCCAGTCAGCTGAAAAGAAGCTGAAGTGCCTGAATGAGCGCATAAACGCCGTGGCGGTCAGAGTGGTGCATCTTGGTGATCAGCTTCAGAGTCTTAGTACTCCACGTGCCAGGGCTCATGAGGCTCTGCAGTTGGTACAGCACTTCACAGATTTCCTTAATGACCATGCAGTCGTTTCCGATGTCTTCTCTGATCCAGATAAAGTACAGCTTGCGTGCCTTGTACTTGTTTTGTTTATGCTTTACGTCTCTGATTTCAGCTTCTCGAAGCGGGCGACATCATTTATAAGCTGAATATGATCGCACAGGAACTGCCGGCAGAGAAGTAATTACTGCTAATACACATAAGGGTGCTGGCTCACAGTAGAGCGTCCCTGTTGTAAATCATTCATTCTGAAGTGCTACTCTCTGAGTGACAGCAAAGTTGCTTTTTGATCAAGAGATTTTATTGCATTGGTCGAAACCTCTGCCTCTGCTATATAGAGGTGGTGCAGAGAATCCAAGGATTTCAACAGTTCCCACTCCTCAAGAAGTAGTGAACTGTTGAAGACTTGAACGTACAAGTTGTAATAAATTGTGATTATTGAAACAGTTCTGCAGAATTTGACATACTCTGACGTACGAACATATTTTGATATTCATACGGTACTATATAGGGAATACCAGCTCCTGAAATTTCTTTCGCAATGACCGCGAGCTTTCTCTAGCGAACAAAGTGATTCTGGATGCATCTGGCACGAGAAAGTTATCAAATACAGTAGAGCCATAGTCTACTGGGGGCAAAGGAGTTCTGCAGCACCCCGTGAAATCTTGTACCAGAGGAGTTAAATGTTATAAGTTGCAGTTTCATCAGTAGTAAAACAGAATGTTGAAGCCTACGATGATTGTTCGTAGTTCGCAATGATGAGTGATATTATTATTTTATTGAATGTATTTTATACGATGGGAAAATGAAAGAATGTAATTTCACAGAGCATTGCCGCAGCAGCTTTAGTTATTCATAAACGATTTTACGTTCGTAGTGGGCGGTGCTGTGGACAAGGATTTTTAAGCATTTTTTGAGGTTCTGCTTAAATTCTCTTGCGTGATTCTTTTTCGGTATGGATATAACGGAATTTTCGATGAGCATACATCATATTTCTCTAGCTATTTGTCGACACATTTCACCATATTTGCGTAGCGAGTATCCCTCGTAAATTTTTTGGAATATTTTGAAACTGACAATGGGCCTCCGATTAACTGTTATCTTTTATCATGTACTGTTTAAGCGATAATGTGATAACATTTTGACGCAGTTTCGTAGATGAAGTAAGGAACTGTTACTCGTCAGAAAGTGGAATTGGATCAGTTTATAAATCAATTTCACAATCTCCAACAACGTTGTAAAACTAAACGGGGAATGTTTGATTGTTTATCGTTGTTTCTGTTTTGTCTTCATCACTTGAGGCTAGCAGATCTTAAGCAGCAGAATATTCATGATTTAACGCATGATTTTAGGACTTTTAGAACCGGTATTTAGAATTGATGCAACGTTTACGATTATGGCAAAACCCATGTTTCTCGACGCTATCAAGTCTGTTTCAACAAGATGTTTTCACGTTTTGGTATTTTACGCTATCTCTTCTACGGCCAGTTCACTGTTGTTAAGCGAGAAGTGATAATTTGAGAATGTGACGAGGCAGTCAAGAGAGAATAATATCGATCGCCGATATAAGCTTATTGTCTTAGGGCAAACAATTTGAAATCATTCTTTTGCTCAGGGGTTTTCACTCAGTCTATCAATGGTATGGTAGATTATATGACCTGATTGTTGGAGTAACATTTACTTCTTTCGAGCACAATAAATGCTGTATATACTGCAAGGCAGTACTCCTGAAATATCATTTATTCGTGTTATCTCAGCTTTGAAAAGTCCTCAGATCTTGTTTAGAAAAGGCAGTAAAATTTTTTGTCGTGATATAATGGGTGCTGTCAAATTTTTTAAAAATTTCTTTATGCGTCTATTTCGTTTTCATGTATTGTTTTCATTTCAGGTTTGGTAAAGTGCGAAAACGGATATCAGACAAGTATGATGAAGTTGAAATGATGTTGATCGATCTGTTCTCGCGTTCCCATTTGGCGGGCAACAAGGCAAAAATCAAGGAAATCGCAACAGTGTTGTCTCAGTTCAAGGTCTGGCGGTGTTGCTTATCAATTTGTTTAAATTTGCATGTTCAGATGAAATCCATTTCAGGGTTATTCTCATTGTATAGACAGGTTTGTGGAACAGTGCCAAATAGTACGTTATGCGTTCTAATGCGTTTATGATGGGTTCAGCCAGTTCTGTTTGTTTAGCAAGCCTTTCATGGCAGCGACATCTTCGCTGACGTGCTGGCGCTGTGCACCAGCAAATGCGAATTCATTAGCGAAGTGTTTCCCACACCGCAGCGGATCATGGCCAAACTGATTCTGAATATCTTCCATGGAAAGCTTCAAGTTTTGTCTTCTTTCATTACTAATTTGTTTCGAACATTTTTTGTTCTTCGCTTTTCTTTAGGAATACATTTCAAAGAGACTGAAAAGTAAAGAGAATGACGCAGAGGGCCGTCTGAACGACCTTTTCGAGTTATACTCAAAGTCAGTTTGACAGAATGCTAGAAGCATGTTTTTGCACTTGAGTGGTGATTGTGGCATCAATGATGCAGCGAGGAGGACAAAACGAGACGAGTCGCTATTATTCTATTGTGCGAGATGATATTAGTGATAATGACTCCCTAACGAAAAATAATTCCGACTTCGTTTGTGGTTCGTGTCCATTTTCTAGGGCACTTTGACAAAATTTGTTCCGGATGATGATGCCAAAAGTAGAATATCTAAAGAACTAGAATAAGTTTTGTTCAATTCATGGCTTAGACACTATTATTATATCAGTGGCGGCAGTGATGATGGACGGTGTTCTGATGGTCAAGTTTTTAAATTCAAATGTTTTAATGGTCAGATAGACCAAAATTTTTAAAATTGTTCATATGGATATCCATGTTTCGAACTGCTGTATTTAACTTATGCTGCTTATGTAACAGCCGTAAAGAACATTACTCCTGAGCATAACTGAATGCTCACTGACCGAGTAGATTTAAGCGAATTGAGCTTCATAAAAATATGAGTGGTCACATGGATCGGTGGTATGATGACATGTGAAACCTCTTTGCCGTTTACAGTGAGTTTTTCTGCTGACAGGAAAGATCACCAAAATTGACTGTCTTCATTGAACTATGTGAAAATAGGGGTTGAGGGAAGCTACAGCAATTTTTTTCGCTTTGATAATGTAAAGAACGACGGTAAGGAGGAAACAAGCCGGAAGTGGTCTGATGTTGTAGAGAATGACATGAAAGTGCGTGAATTGTTCAACGACTTGAACTCGGATAAGAGATTGTACGGAAATCGATTCTTTAAACGGAACCCTATTAAAGGAAATACAAGGACACGATGAAGAAGACAAAGATGCAGAGGGTAATGAAAGAGAAATGAATAATCTGCTTTTGAAATATCATTGATTCTAGTCCATCATCAAAATCAGAAATAGTAGAGGCGGGCTAACAATGATGGACATGATCTCCAGCTTAATAATACTGTATTAACATTGTAACTTTCAAAACACAAATCTGTCCTCTTAAATCGTCAAGGTAGCGCAGTCGGTAATGTGTCGATGGAGTCAAGGAATGGCCGCCTTACGTCCTTCTGAGGTCGTTTTGTGAATATTGTCTTTTGGGAAGGAAGCAGGAGGATATGCGCTACGATGGTCACAACTTTAGGTATAGTTTCCATGTAGCAAGTGTAAACACAGCAACGGATATTGACGCATAGCGCATTATCATGCAGCTAGGTAGATCAGATTGCCTGACATCTTAAACTATGTTACCTTTCCTTTTTTCCTGTTTGTTGCGTTCTTACTAAATGTAATTTCTTTGTATATTGTGCAGAGATCAGCTTCGATGATATTTTCGAAGCGTTCAAAGCTATCGTAGAATACGCAGGTGTCGGCCATGCTGCGCACAAACTGTGCTGAAGGTTCACTTCAGTTCACTGATAACATAACACTGCCATTTGAAGGATATGTGATTCTATGGTTAGAGACATCCATATGATAAAACTAGTGCATCACTTAAAATATGAACATTGTTTGCCTGCTGGAAACGAATCAAGAGTTGACTAGAGGTAACAAAAGTCTTCTCCATATTGGAGTTGAAAGCCTCAAATTTGATACTTTGGTAAAATCGCAAATGTCCCCATTGTAAAGGTGAAAGAATGGGCACGAATGGAACGACAAATAAATACCAATAAATCTAAGGTTTGTAAATCAGTATGCAAATTTATTTTACAAAAACCACAAGGTATTAAAGGTAGTGGAAGGTATTAAAGCCAGCTGAAAGTGTTTGAAGAAATAAATTATATTTTGTGTCAGTTCATCGATATCTTCGTCAGTCAGAAGCTTTCGAGTTGTTGTTTTTTTTCTGAAGCATTCACCGCAGTCTGTTTTCAGGACTAAAACTTTAGTGAACGAACTTTTGAAAATCAACCTCATGGCATCTGAAAAGGAATTTCTTTGGACTCTCGTTCGCGCCCTGTTCACGAAATATCTTCATTCATACATAAAGTATGTGTTTATTTCTCAGTTATTGATTTTTGCCTGGATTTTAGCCGTTTATAGTTTAGAGACAGGCTACCTTAATGAGCAATGCGCTTTTATCCTACAGAAATTTTACGCTTCAACGGGGCATCAGAAGAAAAGTGTGCCAACAAGCGGGTAACAATTTTTATGAAAATATATGCTGAGCAAATTCATTATCTTAATGTGTACCAAATTTATCATGTAGTCAGACGCAGAGAGGTTTTGGAATTGTCGGTACAAAATCTGTCCTGTGGTAATGGCACCGGGATCATTTCCAGCTGCTGGCAAATTCAGTTTTTCTCATCAGCAGTTTTTTCTTCTTACATGATATGGCTGACGATGATCTTCAGGCGTTCGTTTCTGTTCATTGCGCATTTACGGTAGCCGATTCGAAATTAGCGTTCAGTTCACAGTTGCTAGAATGGCCGCTTTGTGACAAAGGTCTTTCCATTTGTGTGCTGCACTATTATTGGAGAATAGAACGACACCGTTTTGACTCAAGCGGTGAAATATTTTCTTCTGAGGCCAACTTCAGTTGTGAATGAGATGTAACTTCGGGCTGCACGTGCGCAAAAGCCCTAAATTACCTAGATTGTTAAGGATTAAGATATTTCACTTGACTGCCGTGAGGCCGACTTTTTATTGTGAATGGTTGGAATGCTCGAAACAACGTAAATAGTAATAGTCGAATTCAGTAGCTACTGCCCTTACAACTACATCTGTGCTTTAGGCTGCATTGCTCTCGTGACCCTTTCCTTTGGTAGTGATAATATTTTCTAGTACTTTGAACCTGGTCATTGTTCTCTGTGGAGCCCCTGCATACTGAAAATGTTTCAGAGGGAGGGAAAAGAACATGTTTAGGAGGTTTTAGAGACTGACTGTAACACGCTGATCCTTTCCACATAGTGTTTCCTGGATTTTTTTGTTATTCAAAACATCCTGTTTGATACCGAAGTTAAGGTCTTATATGAGAACCAAAGCAACCATAATGACATCGGTTTTCCCTGCATTTCCAAATACAAGAAACATTGTTGCTGTGAGCACTCTATTTGTTCAGTACTATAGGATCATCTAAGGGTCTGCGGAGAGGTTGTTTCTACTACGGGATGACGTGATTATTTTCATGTTAAATTGTCCGTCCTTGACAGAAGAAACGAAGTCAGCAGCTGTCACTTGAACACTAAACAGTCTTTGCACCGATAACATGCCTCCATGAGACGCATTTGCAGAATGAAGAAATTGGAAGACTTCATTCTTTCGCTACACATGTCCAAGTAGTCAGCCTGCCTATATGCTCTATAGATCAAAAACTGTACAGTATGTATGCGGTAGTAAAGCGGAAGGCTCAGAACATGATGGAGACATAGAAGAACGGAGCCGAGTTAATTGCTGATTATACTATTAAAGATTTAACAGTCCTTCTGAACAGCATGGGCTGCATCCTCCAGGAACCTACAAAGTTTGCAGATGAAAAAGATGAGAATGGCTACCGCCTGTATCAGTCAGCTCTGTGGCAGCACGCCGTGTCGAAGTCATCTTGCAGCTTTCTTTTACGGTTAAGGAAATAACGTTTCAAAAATGCAATAAGGAACTTGCTTCTCGTAACCTTGAACTCAGGTACTACGGATTTCTTGGTTCCAAGAAAGCGAGAGCGAGATATTTCGTTGTTAAAAATCAATTCAACAGCTTTTTACCTAACTTTGTCGGAAGAGAAGCTTGTTTCTTTGTAAGGTTATATGGTTTTGCTTCATAACTTTAAAGTGTTTCAATTAGTAATTCAGAACTAACTGATTGTCGATGACTGACCATTTGTACCTAATTAGCTGTAATTTATTTTCATTACGAAGACATTGTTGTACTTAGCTAGTTGGTTTTAGGCTGCAGGAGTTTAAACGTGATCTTCAGGCTCGCCTTATGCCAGAAAATTACGGAAACGAGACGTTATTGTCTGAAGAAGTTGCCATCAGCATTCTGCAGGAAACGAAAAATGCCTTTCAGCGTTGTCAGACTGTACGGATCCATGTTTGTCGCTTATTTATAATTTTCACCATGTTTGTTCATAGTTATCTTCGCCAGGTGAAGTTACGTCGAATCTTCAGCAACTTGTAGACATACTCATCCGATATCTCTGCCGCGAGCACATCGAATATGCAGTGGACTTGGCTGCAAATAGTAACTATTCGTTTTTTTCTGATAACCATGGCTTGAACTTTTGACTGTTAACTAATTTTTGGAAAGTTTTTTTGACTTGAAGGTTGATCTTTAGTAGGGGTTTGCAGTTCCTTTTGATTCTGAGGAAACAGCTGTAGCATTTTTCTCGAAAATGTTAAATTGTGCCAAAACCTATGGCTTTGAATGAACTTGAAATTTGAACTTTTATTAAGTGCAAGTTGATGCCGTCTGATCCAGTGAATGGTGCACAGCAGTTATATTTTTAACAATGTCTTTGCTTTATATTCTTCCGGTTTAGTTTATCAAACCAAGTAGGGAATTGTCCAGTTCAGCCATCTGATGCTTCATTAGTCTTCTTTCGATCTATTCCATTAGTTTCAACCACTTTCCAGGGGTGAAATGCGCGATGAAAAAGTTTCAGCTGTTTCGATATTGATGTCGACATTGAGTCCTTCCGACCCTGATTGTTTGTAGTCAGAACATATTTCACTGTTAACCACTGAGATGTGTTGGGATACTGTCGTATTCACGAATTCCCTTGAGCAAGGAATTTACCATTTATTGCTTTAAACAAGATTTGCTTATTTGTTATTATTTGCTTATTCGCTAAAGCGTCGAACTCAACACCAATAGGACCTGAGTTCAGGTCTCGGTTAGGGTCATTCGCCCTTTTTGCTTCTGAGGTTGATAAATGAGTACCATCAGGGAGAAGGCAACATGAGATTAGAGTATAATCTACACTTTCTACATCGCTTTAGATTGTGCCTTTAGAATGGAGCTGATGGCGTGGAAACGATCAGCACCGAGCCATCCACTTCACGAAAAAATGGTCCAATCTTGAAAGTGAAGAAAAGACCAACATTTCAGTGGTGGCTAACTATCCTATCCTATTTTTTCTTCTGTTATAACTCTCTCTAAAGGTATTAGGAGCTTTTTCATTTTCCGTTGTTATTTCCTAGTTAACCGATTGTTTCTGGATTCATGAGTGACCTTTACAGCCACTACACAAAAAGGAGTGTGCGATCTACTGAGTTGTGCTCTGCCATTTAATCCCGTACTTTGGTTACTAACTCCTCAGGGGATACCGAGGTTGGATTATGGAAATTGGGATGAAGATATTAAAATGTAACATAAAATTACTGAAGCGCATTATCTTTTATTATGAAAATTTCTATAAGTTTAAAGTGAAGTCTATGTCGAATCAAACAGACAATGAATAAATTATAAAAACAGGAACCAACACTGTCACACTGGTAATCAATAATAAGTTCACCTCTTCTTGCTCCAAGAGACGTTCCAGTACGTATTGATCTGGCAGTGTGACGGTTTCCATTCGAATGATATATTTGTCAGTTTGTAAATATAATCCCTGTATTTGCGTAGCTACTAGCGTCATTTTTATATTCTTTGTGGACAAATCCACGAACCTATAATAAATAAATTCTGTTCTACTATTTTTTTACGATTAAATGAAATGTCAGTGCGGATCATCGATTTTGACAGTGGTCATCATTGCTCAATCCGATCTAGACTATGTTAAGAATCAATGAAAAACGATTGCTTGGTTTCGAGATGAAAGATTGCTCAATAGCAGAACGATTTGCAGGAGCAATAAAAGGTCAAGTGGAAAATAAGAGGACTATGCGAAATGCATCTTGAAGAAAAATTGTATTCTATTCTGCCGAGTAGGACACGCGGTACAACTGGCTTCGCAGAGATCATACTCCGTCAGTTGGTATTTAAAATGGGTCTCATTTCTGAAATGACGCCGAATTGTCGAGATATCATCGAGCGGGGGTACTTGATGTTGATCAAGCTATAATCACTGATGGTGCTGTTGATCACAGTCGTCCAGATATATTAATCCTGGATCACATGAACAGCTGAAGTAATTGATGTTGCTGCTCCACTGGATGAGATCATGCAAAAATTATGGGTGGAGGAAACAGCATGATACCAAATCTTGGGTGTAGATCTGAAGCAGGTATGTCAGATAAAGGCTGTACTAGCCGCGCTAGTTATCTTTGCAAATGGCTTCATTGCGAAATCAGTGAGGACGAGCTTCGATCACCCGAAACTCGCAGAAAAGCTACTAAGATATACCAGAAAGATGGATGTTTTGATTACAGCCAGAGTAGTGCAAAAAAATCATGGACGTACCAACATTTTGGCGAGATGTCGCTCTTAGGCTATGCCTATTCCCTAGTAGGGACAAAATATCCTCAGCGTGAGTGAATCTTCCTGTTTCTAGCATGTTTCCTTTAACAGGGGTTCGCTAATCAAATCAAGCAAGATTCCCACCGCGCGCTGTCATCGCCAGTCCATGGGAACATAACTGTTAGCAAGCTGTTACATATTGTACGCGAGATTATTTAAAGGACTTACACCTCTGTAATTTAGGTATTTACATTTAAGTATTCGCTTTCAGGTGTTCAAACTGAAACGCAGTGTTGCAATTTTCTGCGAGTCGTCAGGCAAACGGCAGCGATTTTTCACCTGTTTGAAAAGCAGTTCGAAGACAGTATCTTGCCGTTATTCCGGTAAGAAATTTCTAGGACTAAAATCGAAATAACCGCTTTGACTGAAGTAATTACATCCGCAGTATCCTCAGATTTATCCATTGAGAAGCGATTTATCCCTCAAAAAGGCTTACACACTTTGTATTAGACTATTTGGCCCAAACGACATTGTATTTTCGTTGCGTCAGGTCCCACAAAATTGATCGTACTGCTCACTGGTCAAAGCTAGGCTCAAATTCACGCAATTTACACGTGTTCATTTCAGCCTTAAACACAACAGTTTAGCTTAGCATTAACGTCACAAGTTAAATTGGTCAGTCAATAGGTCAGTTTTGATGACCGCATATCCGAATTTCGGATCGTGACAGGAGCAGCTTCAGATTGCGTCTCCAACGTTCCCCATCTTATGCTACTCTCTGAACTTTTTAAAAAGAAAATCTCAGTGTTTATCAGGGTCCATCCAGGCAACTGTCCTGTGTCATTCTTGGCCGTCTCTTGAGACCTTCGTTGGTCAACCGAGCGATTAGTTATTGTTTCGCCGTCATTTCTAGATCTATTTGCAAAATTTGTCCAGACCATTTAACTTCGGATATTGGGAGGTAAATGGCGGAACAAAATACAGCGGTACCTCCTGTCACAAACTTAATTCGTTCGTTGACTCCGTTCGCGCTCCCCAGAAACATGGTTTGTTGACTTTTCTTATGGATTTATGTGTGGCAAAAATATATCATATAAAACATA